GGGAAGAGGGAGAATCCCCCTTTTCCCCTCCTGGTTCTTATGGTTGATCAAAGCATTAAAAGTGACCTAAGGCAGATTAGCAGGAGAAAATCAAACAAAGTTTATTATGTGTACATGGGGAATTCACATAAGCATGAAGATTTCTAAAGACAGTCAGGCAAAATGAGATATATGTGTCTTTCTGGACTAAGGAGAGGGAGATAGAGGTCTGAGACTTCAAAGGGGAAAAGGCAATTTACAGGAAGATGAAAAGAGTTCACAGGTGGTAAACACATGTTTGCATTGTCCCATTTATGGACAATGGGACCTTAAAGAGCTCTTTGGATAAAATGGCCCTTGCTAAATGCCTTCCTGCTTATCACACTGAGAATTATCCATGATGAGGGCTCCTTCTTGGGACAGGCCTTTATATATTAAATTCTTTTAGGCAATTTAGGGGAAGGTGAGATGTTCTTCCAGAGTCTTCTGACCTTGATTGTCTTCAGCTTGAACTAATCTGCATACCAGAGTAGCAAATCTTCGGCAGTCTGCCCTGAACCCCATCAAAGGTTGGTGGTAATCCTTTATCAGGCAAATTTATCAGCGTCATTTTTCCAACAGCATTTACTCACTTCGTGTTTTTGTCACATTTTAGTAATCCTCACAGTGTTTCAAACTTTTCATTATTATTAATTTGATGTGGTGATCTGTGACCAGTGATCTTTGATGTTAGTATTGTAATTGTTTTGGGTTGCCACGAACTGCACCGATATAAGAAGGGAAACTTAATTGAGAAATGTGTGTGTACTGACTGCTCCACTGAATAGCTGTTCCCCCATCTCTCTCCCCCTCCTCGAGACCTCCCTACTCCCTGAGACACAACAACACCAAAATTAGGCCAGCTAATAACCCTGCCATGGCCTCTAAGTGTTCCAGTGAAAGGAAGACTCGCACAACTCTCAATTTAAATCAAAAGCTAGAAATGATTAAGCTTAATGAGGAAGGCAGGTCGAAAGCCAAGATAGGATAAAGGCTAGGCCTCTTATACCAAACAGTTAGCTAAGCTTTGAATTCAAAGGAAAAGTTCTTGAAGGAAATTAAAAGTGCTACTCCAGTGAACATGGAAATGATAAGAAAGTGAAGCAGCCTTACTGCTCATATGGAGAAAGTTTTAGTGGTCTGGGTAGAAAATGAAACCAACCACAACATTCTCTGAAGCTAAAGCCTAATCCAGAGCAAGGCCCTAACTCTCTTCAATTCACTGAAGACTGCAAGAGATGAAGGGGCTGCAGAAGAAAAGGGTGAAGCCAGCAGAGGTTGGTTCATGAGGTTTAAGGAGAGAAGCCATCTCCATGACATAAAAGCACAAGGTGAAGCAGCAAGTGCTGATGGAGAAGCTGCAGCAAGTTCTCCAGAAGATCTAGCTGAGATCACTAGTGAAGGTGGCTGCTCTAAACAGCAGATTTTCAATGTCTATGGAACAGTCTTATATCAGAAGAAGATGCCATCTAGGACTTCCGTAGCTAGAGAGAAGTCAATGCCTGGCTTCAAAGCTTCAAAGGACAGGCTGACTCTCTTGTTAGTGGCTAATGCAGCTGGTGACTTAAAGTTGAAGCCAATGCTCATTTCCCATTCTGAAAATCCTAGAGTCCTTAAGAATCACGCTAAATCTACTCTGCCTGTGCTCTATAAATGGAAAAAGCCTGGATGATAGCAAGTCTGTTTACATCATGGTTTGCTGAATATTTTAGACCCACGGTTGGGACCTACTGCTCAGAAAGAAGATTCCTTTCAAAATAGTACCACTCACTGAAAATCTACCTGGTCAGCCAAGAGCTCTGAAGGAGATTCAAAATGAGATTGATGTCGTTTTCATGCCTGCTAACACAACATGGATTCTGCAGGATCTGGACAGTGATTTTGATCATGGGTCTAGGAGTAATTTACTTTCAAGTCTTATTATTTAAGAAATACATTTTTTGTAAGGGTTCAGCTGCCATCGATAGTGATTCCTCTGATGGATCTGGGCAAAGTAATTTGAAAATCTCTTGGAAAGGATTCACCATTCTAGATGCCATTAATAACATTTGTGATTCTAGGTCAAAATATCAACATTAAGAGGAGTTGGGAACAAATTGATGCCAACCTTCATGGAAGACTTTGAGGGGTTCAAGACTTCAGTGGAGGAAGTAACTGCAGATGTGGTGGAAACAGCAAGAGAACTAGAATTAGAAGTGGAGCCTGAAGATGGGGCTGAATTGCTGCAATCTCATGATAAAACTTTAACAGATGAGGAATTGTTTCTTATGGATGGGAAAAGAAAGTGGTTTCTTGAGATGGAATTTACTCCTGGTGACGATGCTATGAAGATTATTGAAATGACAATAAAGGATTTAGAATATTATGTAAGTTTACTTGATGAAGCAGCAGCAGAGTTTGAGAGGATTGACTCCAAGTTTGAAAGAAGTACCACTGCGGGTAAAATGCTGTCAGATATCACCACATGCTACAGAGAAATTGTTCATAAAAGGAAGAGCCAATTGATGTGGCAAACTTCAGTCTTGTCTTATTTTAGGAAATCGTCACAGCCACCTCGGCCTTCAGCAACCACCACCCTGATCAGCCGGCAGCCATCAACATCAAGGGAAGACCCTCCCCCAGCAAAAAGATTACAACCCATTGAAGGTTCGCATGATGGTTAGTGTTTTTTAGCAATAAAATATTTTTTAATTAATGCACATACACTCTTTCTTTAGACAGCATGCTTTGCACACTGAATAGACTACAGTATAGCGTAAACATACCTTTTCTATGCACTGGGAAACCAAACAGTTTGTGTAACTTGCTTTATTGTGATATTCATTTTATTGTGGTGGTCTGTAAATGAATTTGCAATATCTCCAAGGTATGCTGGTATAGGTCCAGCTCTTAGATTTAGTTCTCTGATCCATTTTGAGTTAATTTGTGTGTGGTGTGAGGTGGGAGTCTGACTTCATTCGTTTGCATGTGGATATCCAGTTATCACAGCACAGTGTGTTGAAAAGATTATTGTTTCCCCCAGTGAGTTGTTTTGGCACTCTTGTCAAGAACCAATTGGCCATCATTAAAGTTTGGTGCTCACTGCTTTGGCAAGCTGGGTTTGTTCCCCGTCACAGAACAACACCACCTCTCTGTCAGTTGCCTTGCTGTGGTGGCAGCTCACACAGAAGTACTAGAAGGACTTACAGCTAGGATATACAACCATGCTCTAAGACTTTGGTGAGAAAAACAAAAAGAGGAAGATTGGCAACACTTGTTAGGTCAGGGCGAATCTTTCCCCACCAAAAACAAGAAAAAATCAATTGGTCATCAAGAGAATGAGAAAACAAAGCATACACTAGGAGAAAATATTTGTAAAAGATGTATCTGATAAAGAATTGTTATCCAAAATATACGAAGAACTCTTAAAAATCAACAATAGGAAAACCAACAAACCAAGTAAAAATGGGCAGAAGATCTCAGCAAATACCTCACCAAAGAAGATACACAGCTGGCAAACAAGCCAATGCGAAGATGCTCCACATCTTATGTCATTAGGGCGCTGCAAACTAAAACAACAATTAGAAACGACTCCACACCTGTTAGAGGGGCAAAAATCCAATTCAACAACACCACATGCTGAGCGTGCAGAGCAGCAGGAACGCTCCTTCATTGCTGGTGGGAGCACAACATGGCACAGTCATTTGGGAGACAGTTTGGCAGTTTCTTACAAAACTAAACATACTTTTACCACATGATTCAGCAACCACACTCCTTTACCCAAATGAGTTGAAAACTTATGTCTACACAAAAACCCACACATGGATGTTTACAGCAGCTTCATTCATAATTGCCAAAACTTGGAAGCAACCAAGATGTCCTTCAGTAGGTGAATGGATAAATCAACTGTGGTCCATGCAGACGAGAAATGTTACTCAGTGTTAAAAAGAAAGGAGCTATCAAGACCTGAAAAGACATCAGACAACCTAACTGCATGTTACTTAGTGAAACAGGTCAGTCTGAAAAGGCGACAAATTGTCTGATTCGATTCCAACTATATGACATTCTGGAAAGGCAAAACTATGGAGACGGAAAAAGATCAGTGGTTTCCAGGGGTTAGTGAGGAGAGGGATGAATGGGTGAAGCACAGAGGATTTTTAGGGCTTACCCTAATAGTGTACATCCATCATTATACATTTGTCAAAGCCATGGAATGTACAACACCAAGAGTGAGCCCTAATGGAAACTGTGGACTTCAGGTGATAATGACGTGTCAATGTAGGTTCATCAAATACAACAAATGCACCAATCTGCTGGGGGATGTTGAGAGTGGGGGAGGCTGTGCATGTGTTGGGGCTGGGGGTATATGGGAACTCAACATTCTGCTAAATTTTGTTGTGAACCTAAAACTGCCCTAAAAAATGAAGTCTATTTTTAAAAAATCAATTGGCCATAAATGTAAATTGGCTACAAATTTTAAATATTTAATTGCCCATATTTTTGGACACTCAATTCCATTCCACTGATCTATGTGTCTATCCTTTTGTCAGTAACACACTGTCTTGATTCCTGTAGCTTTGTAGTCTGTTTAGAAATCAGAGAGTGTAAGGCACCCTTCAACTGTTTTTTTTGTCAAAGAAATTGTCAAATTGTTTTGGCTTTTCTAGGTCCCTTGCTTTTCCATATGAATTTTAGGATCAGTTTGATAATTTCTGCAAAATAGGCCATTGGGATTGTGCTAGAGATCGCACTGAATCTGCAGACCAATTTGGGGAGGATTGCCATCTTGACAATGTTAAGTTCTCCAGTCCAGGAATGTGGGATGTCTTTCCACTCATTTAGGTCTTCTTTAATTTTTTTCAATGATGTTTAGTAGTTTTCAGTGCACAAGTCTTGCATTTCTTTCGTTAAATTTATTCTAAGCTATATTTATACATAAATTTATTCTTTTTGATGCTATGTAAGCAGAGTCATTTCCTTAATTTCATTTCTGGATAGTTCATTCCTAGTGTGTAGAAACACAACTGATTTTTGTATATTGATCTTGTATCCTGCACCTTCACTGAACTTGCTTATTAGATTTTCTGTCTGGATTCCTTAGCATTTTCTCTCCATAAGATCATGTCATCTGTGCTAGAGGTAGTTTTACTTCTTCCTTTCCAATCTAGATTCCTTTTATTTCATGTTCTCACCTAATTGGCATGGCCAGAGCCTCCAGTGAAATGTTGAGGACAAGTGGTGAGAGGACGTCCTGAGGTTGTTCCCGATCAGAGGGAAAGCTTTCAGTCTCTCACCACTGAGCACAGCAGCCGGGGATTTTCCTAGATGGTCTTCATCAGTTTGAGGGTGGTCCCTTCTACTCCAGCTTTGCTGACTGTTTTTCTCTGTGTCTGTTGAGATAATCACGTGGTTTTGTCCTTTGTTCTATTAGTGTGGCATACTACCTTGATTGATTTTCAGATGCTAAATCAATCTTGCGTTCCAGGGATAAATCCTGCTTCATCATTTTTATATGTTGCTGGATTCGATTTGCTGGTATTCAGCTGAGCAGTTCTGCCTCTATATTCACAAAAGATATGGTCTGTAGATTTCTTTCCTTGTGATGTCTTTGTTGGGTTTGGTGTCAGGGTGATCCTGGCTTTGTAGGATGAGGTGGGCCGTGTTCTCTCTTCTTCTTCATGTATTTTTTAGTGTTACTCTTCACTGTATCTTCATGGTGTTGCTCTGTGCAACTAACTTGCTCAGTGGGATCCAGCATTTGGCCCAGCCATATCCCTGGATGTGTACAGTTTACTGCATCGACCATTCTTAGCCATGAACATCCATTGGATGTTGGTGACTGTGAAGGGGTGTGTGGTGAGAGCCCCTCTCTGGGTAGATAAAGTCAGTGCTCCAAAAGCCTGCACACCAGCTCTCAGGTTGTCATCAGCAAGACCTTGGGGGAGCTCCTGCTATAAAATTGCCCAAGCCTGTTGGTTGGAAATGCATTTTTCTGGATTTTTGTTAGGGCATTTTAGAGCAAAGAAAATCTACTCGGTTATGTTTAGGCCACATAAGAGTGAGGTACAGGAGTTGAAATCCCTGTAGAAAGTGAGAGCCCATCTGAGAAGTTCCTCGAGACAATGTCAGCCAAATATCAGACTGGGGCAAGTGGGCGGGCTAAGGCAGAGTGTCCTAAGTGGCACCATCTTGTCTGGGATCACATCGTCTTGTCACCAGCCCACTGAGCCAGACAGCCTGTGGGTGCCTCTAAACAACTATTCCACAAACCACGTATAAACCTGAAAACATGGAGAGAGTTCTCGGGGAAGAGGATAACTGTTTTAGTTGTGCTTTGCTTGCACTGATTGTCGTCATTTTGCTGTAAACAACTTCACACGCCTGTCACACCAACCTTTCCACTTTCAAAGAAGTGGGAGGAGAAGGACAAAGACCCCTCAGCCCCAGGAATAAATCAGCCTGAGGGAGGTTTGTGATGGTCACGTGGTGAGACCTGTAGTGTGTCACCCGTGATGTGGGGACTGGCCTGGAGAAGCTCAGTCCATGCTACTTCTCACGGATATCCACAAGTGGGGAGCTGCCGTTAGGGTCCTGCTGGGTCTCCCAGGCATGAAAGGTGCTCCTGTCTAGAAAGGGCTGTCATTGGTGTCTGAGGGGCCCTAGGGACGCCCCAAGCTGGAGGTCATCCCCAGGAGTCCGCTTGCCTCCTTTCAGGACATCGTGTGCAGCTACGAGCTCAGAACAGCCAGCGTGAGTCCTGCCGATTCACAGAACAGTCCCCAGAGCTGTGCACTCCCTCGTCAACGGATCAGGGTGGCTTACTGCCATCCCGTTGTGCCCAGAGGTCAGGTGCTGCCCAGGGCCTCTCAGCCAGGTTCATACCCTCGTCTTATCAGCGTCTTGCCTGACACCGACAGCCCCACAGCTCCCAGTGTGGAGGGGCCTGGATGGTGCCCAGCTGGTGGAGTACCTGTGTTGGGATGAGGGATCAAGGAGGGTGTCTGCAGCAGTGGAAAGCGGGTGGGGTCCAGACCCCCCCACTCCCTGACTTGGACCTTCACCTCCACAGGCCTCCTAAAACCACCCCAGTGACCTAGGCTAGTCAGTTACCTGGTGGCCTGGGTGTCCTTATCTGTGAAACGGGCACAGTAATAGGGCTTCCCTAGAACCTGGGGAGCTCTGGCCTTGACTGTGTGAGGTATGTGTAGGGTCGGCTGAGTGCCTGTGGGCCCAAGATGTAGGGCCCAGTGGTGGATCTGGCACCTAAGGGTGGGGCCCAGCTCAGAGTGGTGGTGGCAGCAAGGGTGACAGCAGGTGAGCTGCAGGAAGTCCTGCAGGACAGACTCAGGCCAGAGACGAGGTGACGGTACTTGGGGACAGGGTAACTGGGGACAGGCGTATGGCGGAGGTGGCTCTGGCCACAGTGTGGAGGTGGGCTGCATGGCTTCGGCCTCAGGCACGGGGCCCAGGGTGTCCCCCACTCCCACCAGGCGCTGATACACTGACTGGCAGGGCTGGAAGTCTGGGCATGAGTGCTGCTGTCTGAGGCCACATCGCCACTGAGCCAGAGTTGCTCCTGTTCCAGGTCCTGGAGCCCTGACCCAGCTCCCAGGAAGCCTCTGGTTTCCACCCTGCACTGAGATCACAGACCACTGGAGCGGTTCCTAGCCGGGCTCCCTGGGGCGGCCCCCTCCCCACCCTCAGGGCCCCTCCCAAGCAAACCCAGGTCCCCCTCCACCAGGCTCCCTCCCTTGCCCCAGAGGCAGGCAAAAGCAATCCCCATGCTTCCCTATGACCCTGACCCTGCCTCATCCAGCCCTCCGGGCAGCCAGTGGTTCGAGACTTAGTCCCCAGAGCAGGGTCAGAGCAAGACATGAAGGCTGTTCAGTACCCAGCTGGGCAGCCTGTCACTCCTCTATGACCCTCATAGGTGCCGGCAGCTGGCTTGGTGCTCCTGTCAGCCACTCACCATGGCCTGGGAACTGCCCAGCACCACCAGCCTGGTGCATTTCTGCCAGAAGCTGAACCGGCTGAAGTCACTGGAGGAGCCCACCAAAGAGATGCCACTGCAGCGCCACCTGACCACATTGGACCTAATCCTGCTGGGTGTGGGTGGCATGGTGGGCTCAGGCTTCTATGTGCTTATGGGCTCTGTGGCCAAGGAGATGGCCGGCCCTGCAGTGCTTGTGTCCTTCAGCATCGCTGCTGTGGCCTCCCTGCTGGCAGCCCTATGCAATGCGGAGTTTGGGGCCCGTGTGCCCCACGCGGGCTCTGCCTACGTGTTCACCTATGTGTCCATGGGCGAGCTGTGTGCCTTCCTCATTGGCTGGAACATACTTCTCCAGTATCTAATTAGTGGCGCTGCTGTGGCCTGTGCCTGGAGCGGCTACTTGGACGCCATCTTCAGCCACAGAATCCACAGCTTCACCATGGCCCATGTGGGTATCTGGCAGGTGCCCTTCCTGGCATAGTACCCAGACTTCTTGGCTGCTGGCACGGTACTTTTGGCCTCCACACTTGTATCCTGTGGAGCCCGTGTCCCTTCCTGGCTCAACCACATGCTGCTTCTCATCAACCTGGTCGTCATCCTCTTCATCATCATCCTGGGGTTTGTCCTGGCCCGCCCGCACAACTGGAGCGCTGATGAGGGCGGCTTTGCACCCTTCGGCTTCTCTGGTGTCATGGCTGGTGCCGCCACCTGCTGCTGTGCCTTCATGGGCTTTGAAGACATTGCTGCCTCCAGCGAGGAGGCCCAGAACCCAAAGCGAGCTGTGCCTATGGCCATCACCATTTCCCTTGGCCTGGTGGCTGGTGCCTACATCCTTGCCTCCACTGTGCTCACCCTCATGGTGCCCTGGCACAGCCTAGACCCTGGCTCGGCGCTCACTGATGCCTTCTTCCAGCGGGGCTACAGCTGGGCGGGCTTCATTGTGACAGTTGGCGCTATCTCTGGTAAGGGGCCCTTCCGAGCAAGAAGGGAGGGGACAGGGTGGTGGGGCCCTGCCCTAAGCCTCCACTGAACACATCTCCATCTGGGCCTGTGTTCCCAGTTGCATCCTGGGCCCAGGAAGGTGCTAATGATTAGACTATCCACCCAGGCTCGTTGAGAGGGACCTACTCACCGCCCCTCCCAATTGTACACAGAATGTCAGTTCTGGGCATGAGCTGCCAGGTCCTTTCCTGGTGGAGGGACTCAGCTCTCGAGTCTCCAGTGGGTCTGTCACCTAAACTGGGCTGTCCCATTCATGGGTGGTGAGGGGGAATAATCCAGTACCTCACATACACTCAGGCTCACTCTGAGAGCCCAGATAGACTCATGCCCGTATTCCCACCCATGCCCTGAATCCCAGCAGGGGCCCCTGGTGGGATTGTTCACTGTGCTGACCAGTCTCCCACCCTCTGCCACAGCCATGAACACCATCCTGCTCAGTGACATCTTTTCCCTGCCACGCCTCGTACACGCCATGGCCACCGATGGGCTCTTCTTCCAGGTGTTTGCCCATGTGCATCCCCAGACGCAGGTCCCTATAGTGGGCATCTTGGTATTTGGGGTCCTAATGGCTTTCCTGGCGCTGCTGCTGGACCTCCAGGGACTGTTCCAGTTGTTGTCCATCAGTGTACTGCTAGCCTACACCTTCCATGCCACAGGCATTATTGTGCTACGCTTCCACAAGTCCCCTCCAGCCAATTCCCTGGACCCAGGCAGTCCTGTGGGCACAGAGCAGGCCTCAGCCCCTGAGCCTGGGCAGCTGCGACCAGCCCTGAGGCCCTACCTTGAATTCCTGGGTGGGTGCAGACCTGGAGCCGCCGTGGCTTGGGCACTCGGTGTCCTGTTGGCCTCGGCCATCACTCTGGATTGCGTGCTGGTCTTCGTGGACTCGACCCTGCACCTCCCACCCTGGGGCCACACCCTGCCGCTCCTGCTCAGCTCCGTCGTGTTTCTGCTCAGTCTCCTCATACTGGGGGCCCACCAGCAACAGCGCCTGGAGGACGCCTTTCAGGTACTTCCTCCAGCCAGCACCCCTCACTCTCAGCCCAGCCAGCTCCCTTCACCCTGTAGTCCTCTGCTGTGGCAGGATGCACCAGGGCTCACGGGGTGGGGAAGGCCAGTACCCCATCCCCCTCTTTCTGCATGGTGAGTGGGCACTTGTCTCTGGAACCTCCAGAGGCGGAGAAAGGCTCCGTGGACTCCCAAGAAATCAGGCCCCAGCCCAGCAGCCCCTCCCTGCAGCCCAGCAGCCCTGCCCTTGCCCCTCAGGTTCCCATGGTGCCCCTGACTCCAGCCCTGAGCATCCTCCTCAACGTCTTCCTCATGCTGCAGCTGAGCTCCCTGACCTGGCTGTGCTTGTGCATCTGGCTGCTGATTGGTGAGTGGGGGCCAGGCCGGGACCCCAGGTGGGCTGCAGGAGGAGGGCAAGCAGGGAAGCTGGGCTGGGACCTGCCCCTCAGACTTGTGCCATCCTTACAGGACTCATGGTGTATTTTGGCTACGGCATCTGGCACAGCAAGGAGAACCTGCAGGAGCAGCCAGGGTTGACTGCCACATGCGGCAGCCTGGAGGAGACAGTGCAGACCCTGCAGCCCCCCAGCCAGGCCCCGGCCCAGGATCCCAGCCACAAGGAGCAGCCCACCAGTCCATGAGGACCGCTGGGGGCCTGCCTGCCCTCCTCCACCTCCTCACGGGGACAGAGGGGCTAGCAGCTCCTTTTATCCAGGGCAGCTAGGGTTTGCAGGCCTGTCTATGCCAAGGAGTCCTCAGCTCCCCAGACCTGAGCCCAGGTGCCAAACTTCGAGTCTTTGGGAGTGGGCCGTGGCCAGTGCTGGTGTGCTGGACTCTGCCCAGCACCTTCCAGTTTATGACCAACTCCAGCTACCTAGGCAGGTGAGCAGGGCGGGAAGGAAAGAGGCCCACAGCCCCAGGGATCCACAATAATAACTGCTCAGTCACCTCCATGACCTGCCATCATGTCCACTGTGGTGTTCTTTGTGGCACTGAGTCCTCACCTGCCCCCAGGAACCAGACGATTGTCCCTAATCCACAGCAAAGATGCTGAGGTTCTATAAGGGGGAGGCACCAGCCCTGGGACAGCCCTGAGTCAGGGACATGACCTGGCCAGGGTCCTGGAGTCCTGCCCTCAGGCCTGCCCTCAGATCAGTTCAGAGGGGACCTGCACATATTCCTACACACATGAGGCATAGAGGGGTCCCTGACAGGGTGGGCCCAGGCTCCTTCCGTGGCATCCATCATGTCCCCTTGGGGGCAGATCCAGAGAGCAGAACCTGGACTCCTAGAAGGCCACCTAGAAAGGGCAGTGGAGTTCCTGGGTCCCCTCAGTTTCCCAGGGCTCCTAGACAGCAGGGCATGTGCTTGAGGCCCTGGGATGCAGAGGCCCACCTGCCCAGGTACACACATCATGCATCTCTCAGGCACAGGCCCACACGGCTCCCCTGGGGGTGCACAGCCACGTGCAGACTGAGGCAACAGCTGTTTCCAAGCTCAGGCCCTGCAGCTCCTGCTGCCTCTCTCCTGTCACCCCCTCAGGGATTTGGGATGAAGGCTTGGGAAGGGACACACGCATGCAGCTGGGTGCACAAGCACTTGGACCCTACTTGGTGGCTGTGGGGCCCCATCCTCGGGGTCCCTAGGCTCACCTTCCACCCTCACTGGTCTCTCGAAGGCAATGCCATGTCTACCATAGACACTTCCACCACCCTGTTCCTGCCTGTGAGGACCACACAGGAAGCTGCTGGCTCTGGCAGCTTTACTCCTTGACTCTCTGCAGCCTTGACACCAGCTTTCTCAGGGCCCCAGGACAGCCAGGTACACGTGACCCCACTCCAATAACCAGACCTCAGGGCCGTGAACTCTCACCCCAGCCCTTCTGACCCCACCTCCCATGGACACTGCTTTGGGGATTGAGAGGCAGCAGGGACCCCAAAGCCTTTGCGGGGGCTCAAGGTTCCAGATGATTCCAGATGCTTCCCAGCCTGAGCCCCAGCCCTAGGCCTCCCCAACCTGGCCCATGTCAACTCTACCAGCAAGCTGCCAGCATGCCCTGGTCACCAGGGACCCATAAGAAGGCAGCCCCTTGTCTCCCTGGCATGGGCACTCCCAAATCCCTGCCCCTCCCTGGGACAAAGAGAGGGCTGGACTGCTGCAGCCCCCATCCCTCCCCTCCTGACTGTGGGCCTGGGACATGGGGAAATTCTCCAGCATGCAGGACTCAGGCCCCCAGGAGGATGCCAGAGCCACAACCTGGCCAGCCTGCTGGGGCTTCCATGTGCTCTGCTAAGGACATTCTCTCCAGCCCCTGGGCTGCACCTGGGGTCTTGGTCAGAGCATGTCCTTGTGTAGTTGCCTCAGGCTGGGGTGGGCAGCTGGCCAGACATGCTCTCAGGTGTGACCTTGGGTAGCAGTGACATATGTGTCCACATATACAGCCTCCCCACCCTATGGCTCCCTGCAGCCCAGTGAGCAGGGTGCTGGGCTTGGGGTCACCAAGGAGACAGACAGAAGGTCCCAAAGGATCCCAATGCCCACCAACTCAGCCTGTCCACCTTCCTCCCCATCCCAACCCCCCACAGCCCAAGGGTTCCACCAGGAAGAAGCTGGTGCTCACAAGCTGAGTGGTTATGGGCCCAAGAGGTGCCTGTGCCCTTGCCTGGGGTCCCAGGCCATCGGATCATCTGCCCACTGCATTCATTCTATGGATGAGGCCCGGAGCTGAGAGGGGACCTGCCCTAGGACCCCAGCACCAGAGCAGCTGAGACAGCTCCTTGTCAGGCTGCTTTCTCCCCTGCCTTGGACTCTGGCTGCACAGAACCAAACTTCCCTGCCTGAGAGGCCTGGGCTGAGCCACTCTGGCTGTGGCTATCGCCCCCTCCCACCCCTCACCCCTGCCGGCCTCCACTCACCCTGGCCTGGCCCCTCCCTCCCCAGTGAGGAGGGTGTTGAAGCCAACCTCAGAGAGCTGGAGCAGGCTCCAGGCCTCCACGCCTGAGGCCTCCCCCAGTGAGTGGCAGTCCTGGGGGCAGGAGAGTCTACTGGCCTGCTCTGCCCAGTCCTGGGCTGGTCTGGCCCTCACAGGCCTCATCTTACTCATCCATTGACTCCATCCACCCCCAGCCTGAGTCCTGGGTCTCAACCCTGTGTCATTGCTGAAGACACAGTGGACAAGCAAGCTGGGACTTGCTGCTCAGAAGCTCCCTGCCTGCTGAGGGGAAGGGGACAGAAGGGTCCCTAAACAGACACTGGCAGTGGGGATGGAGGGAGGTGGGGGCAGGCCTGGGCTGTGGGGTCCAGAGAGGGGACTCACTCCCCTGGGAACCAGGGGCTTCCTGCTGTGAGGCTCTCAGGCTGGTTTTCCAGGCGTCAGGAAGGAGTTTGAGGCAGAGACATAGGGCAGCAAGAGCACAGAGGAGTGGGGGCAGGGTGTGGACGGGTCCAGCCCCGCATGGTCATGAAGGGCTGGGGAGGTCAGCAAAGCCATGCCAGGCTGGGCCCAGGGAGCAGTGTCAAGGGGCGTCACCTCCAGGCCTGGGGGCTGTGTGCACATATGCATGAGGGTGTTGAGGTGACATGCAGGGGCAGAAGGATGAGGGGCCTGCTTAGGAGACTCAGACAAGACATTGCATGCAGTGCAAGATCCTTGAGTGCATCCTGGGTCAGAAAACAAAAGATGTGTAACTATTATTGGCACAGCTGGGGCAATATAAATATTAGATCTGCCAATGTTAGATTTCTTGAGTGTGACAAGAGGACAGCAGTCACCTGGGGACAGTCCTCTTCTCAGGACAGCACTGAGAAGGGTCAGTGTCTGAATATCTGCCACTTACTCTCCAAAAGTTTCCTGTGAAATCTGAATTTATCTGCTCCCTCTAGAGAGGGATGGAGAAAGCAGGTGGGGCAAAATGGTGAAGAAAAATAAACCAAACATTGTGAACCCAAACGAAGGCTATATGGGTTTTTACGGTACTAATCTTTGAAGTTTAGTATAGATTTTCATAACTTTTTAGATAAAATATTGAGGGAAAAGTAAAAAAGAAAGCCCCCTGTGGTGTGGAGGGAGAGGCTGGAGGCAGGGTGGAGTGGAGGAGGGGCTGGGTGAGGGGTCCCCATGTTCCCTCTGCTCTAAGAAAAATGGAATGATATGTGAAGTTGTCCTGAAAAACATGCTTATTCAATATGATGAATGGTTATCATCAGAAGCTTTAGTGTAATGGAAATTCCTCAGGGTTTGCAGTCTGACGGGCCTGGGACCAAATCCTGATCCATCAATGTTAGATCCTGGATTCTGAATCCGAGATCAACACTAGTCTAGACACAATGTTCTACTTCCTGTTCCTTCCCTGTTATCATTAGTCTCCTCTGCCTGGCCCAGATGCGATCCTCAGCTGTAAGGGAAACATTTCTGAATCCTCACAGTCCACGTAAAAGCCTTCCCAGGACTCAGCCCTGTGTCCATATGAAACACGGCTAATACCTACCAGGAAGGGTCACTGTGAGAGGGGATGACATGAGAGACCCCACAGAAAGGGCCTGTGCAGAGACAGACTCAGTGCTGGTTCTCTTGCCCCAACCTCTCTGGTTATCATTTTTCATTGAGGAACAACATTTATGCTGCAAAGTGCACATGGATTAAGGGCGGGGCCCAGTGAATTCTCAGAAACAGCATACACCTACATAACCAGCCCCCCATCAAGAAATAGAGCAGGCCCCCAGAAGCCCCCTTGTGCCCCTTCCCTTCTCTGTTTTAATAGTTTGGGGAGTAATGACATTGTCATCCATAGGAGAGAAGCTGTCCTAGGGAGCTTCTTCGAGGCCCTGTGTGTGTAAGTGAAAGAAGTCGGGTTCTCAGAAAGTGACAATGAGCTGCCTGGTCCTGGGTGTCTCCTCAGGATGTCCAGGTGAGCAGAGGGTTTGAGGACCTCGCCATCTCAGTGAAGGTCATTCATCCAGGGCTTTGCATAAAGATTGCTGTCCGCAGAGTGGAGCACAGAACAGAGTTGCTGGCAGTCTTTAGACCGTCCCCACCAGCGTCTGACCCTAAATGACTGTGGAGTGTGACTTCCTCATCTTCCATCGGGCACTTCACTTCCTTATGGAGGGTTCTGGGCCTCACCATGCCTTGTTACCACTGAGTCTTCACTGAGTCCCAGTGTCAACTGCTGGTAAGTCCTATGGAGCCAGACATCATGATGACTCAGACACCTGTACCCTCCTCGGCCCCCATGGTCCATATAGTAACAAGGGCCTTCCTCTGCTCTCCCTCATTTATGTAACAGGAGCTCATATGATGTGCTGACATTGAGCTTGGCACAGGGTCAAGATGCCCAAAGTCCCTGCCCTGGTGACCTCAGGAGACAAAATAAAAGCTGGTGTGCCATTGGCATTCCCATACTCAACTTGTGAGAACCTAACTGACACAACTTTTTGGAAAGGCAATTTGTCCTTATGCATGGAGAGCCTTAGAACTGCCTCTGACCTTTGACCCAATGGTCTGACTAATCTGCTCTACAGAAATATCCAGAGACACAGAAAAAGATTGATGCCCAACCATGTTCACTGAAATGCTGTTTATAACACAAAAAATGGAAATAATCTAAATGCCCAACAACATGGGATGGTTAACTGAGATTTGGAACTCTGCAAACACTAAAGCCAAGTGTTCAAAGAACTTTTAAGACTTTGTGAAAATGCACATGATTAATAAACTGGGAAAATTCGGATAAAAATTCACGTGGTTTGTCTGGCAGGTCCTCAAAAAGGGTAAACATGGAGGTGAGCATGTGACCCAGCAATTCCACTCCCAGAGAAATGGAAACATATGTCCACACCAACACCTGTACTCAGATGTTCATGACCACATTCCTCTTAATATCCACAAGGTGCAAATGTCCACCAGCTGATGAATAGATAAATACTGTGGGACACCTATGCAATGGAATATGATTTGGCAATAAAGAGGAGTGAAATTTGAGGTGATGAAAACGTTCTTAAATTGATTATGGTGGTGGTTGCCCACCTCCTTGACTACACTAAAAGAAATCGAATTGTGGGCTTTAAATAGGTGAATTGTATCTCAATACAGCTGTTTAGAAGAAAATGGAATGAAGCAGCATGCTACTGCGGGAACAGATCATGTAGCAAGGGGACGTGTCCTGCTACAACATGGATGGACCTTGACAACGTTATGCTGAGTGAAAGGAGTCAGTCACAAAAGACCATTTTGCACGATTATGTTTACACAAAATGTCCAGAATAGGTAAATCCAGAGACAGAAAGTAGATTTGAGGCTGCCCAGGGCAGGGGGAAGGGAGGCATTGGAGGTTGACAACTACAGGATCTGGACTTCTTTTGTAGGTGATAAAAATGTTCTAAAATTGATTGTGGTGATGGTTGTACAACTCAGTGGATACACTAAGACCTGTTGGATTGTCCACCACTTTAACAGGGTGAATTATATGGTATGTGAATTATATCTCAAGAAAGTTGTTAGCAAAAAACGTCATATTGTTTGAGCCAAGTTGTGTACAAAAACATGTATGAATGTACACGAAAATAAAAAGACCCAAAGCACCCCTGGCATATTGATAATGTTTATCTCTAGGTTGTGGGTTCGTGTATTTTTATTTTGTTTATATTTCTCTGCATTTTCCACACTTTCTAATCTAAGTATGCATGACTTTTAGAATCAGAAAAATAAATAGTACTTAAAAACAGAACACAGTACTGGCTAAAAATCAGCTGTGTGCATGGCGTGCTTGGAGCCCTGAGGAAGGAGGGTGCTATAGACTGAATTTTCCCCCAAAACATCATATGTTGAAGCCCTGTCAGTGTGAATGTGTTTGGAGAGAAAACGTAATTAAGGTTGGGGCTAGCCCCGTAACCAAGTGGTTAAGTTTGCACACTCTGCTTCGGAGGCCAAGGGTTTCAAAGATTCAGATGGACATGGCACCACTCATCAAGCCATGCTGAGGCGATATCCCACATGCCACAACTAGAAGGGCCCACAACTGAAAAATATACAACTATGCACTGGGGGCATTTGGGGAGAAAAAAGCAGGGAGAAAAAGAAGGAATTAAGGTTAAATGATGCCATAAGGGTGGGGCCGTGACCCACAGTAGAATTAGTATCCTTATAAGAGGAAGGACCAGAAAGCTTGCTCTCTACCTGCCACCATGTGAGGCCAAAGTAAGATGGCAGCCCTCTGCAAGCCAGGAAGAGAGGCCTCACTAGAAATCAACCCTCCCAGACCTTGATCTGGGACTCCTGGCCTCCAGAACTGTGAGAGGTCAATGAGGAAAAGTTCTCTACAACTCAAGTAGCAGATGTTTATTTGGGCAATTAGAATTGCAACTCAGGAGACACAGATTCAGGCAGAAACCCAAAAGGTGTTGCGAGGAAGACAAAGGAGGCAAGGGTTTATAAAGGCAAAAAGAGAGAAATTACACAGGATGTTTTGCAAAATTTGTGACTGGTGCTGGCAACAACTGTTACTTCTTGGCTATAGGTGATTGGTTGTTAAGGCCGTTTCCAAGGCAGAAAGTTCTTATCCATGGGAGTAAGCACACTTCTTGAGAGAAGGTCAAGATGACAACAATGAAGCACGGTTCAAAAGTGACAATCCCTCTGGGTAGAGATGGGGTGTATGTGCATAAGCCCCATTTCCTTAGTGGCCTCCCAGATCCTTTTTAGAAGCCTTGACATGTGTTACTCCATTTTGTTGTCACTGTGCACATTTTCAACAGAAAGCGTTGTAGATCAACTGTTTGATTTATTGATATTTCCCTCATTGCCAGGAAGGCTCATTCCTGGGAAGTCACGTCCCTCATGGGGGGGAAGCAAGGTGCTCAATCATCAATAGGAGTAATGCAGTCAGAGGCTCTGGCTGCATCTGAGCAACAAGGAGGCAGTCAGGAAATAAGTCTTAGGCATGGTCTCTATCTGGAGAAAGTATCAAGTCCTTTTTTGGAGTTTCAAGATTGGTTGATCATCTCAAGTCCCTGAGTAATCATTATTCTGCAGGTAGAGACAGACACACAGCACTGAGAAAGGCAAATGTTTAGCATCTTGAAGGCTCCAAAGACCATGCAAATCAGGACAATAGTTATTAGTATAACTTGGAGCACATATGAGTGAGTAGTAGCCTAAGAAGCTTAAATGTAAATACACATATGAAAAATTCCAATAATAATCATAGACTATATTTGAAGTCCTGGTCTCATCCAAGACCCTCTGCCTGTAG